CATCACAGTGTCCCTGCACCCCTGGATGGTGGCGCCGACCACACACCCAGGCTGGTGTATGCCGCCTGTTACTATTCCTGGGCTATATGCTGTGCAGAGCAGGACTATACTGAACACCGAAGGCAACCGTCACACAGTGGGACTTGGGCCTAAACATATCTAACCACAGAAAAGGTCTATCCTGCTGGGCTCGGTGGCTCAGCCTGTAATCCCGCGCCTTTGGGAGGCTGAGGTGAGTGGATTGCCTGAGCCCGCGGGTTCGAGACCTGCCTGCCTGGGCAACTTGGTGAGACCTCATCTCTACAATAAATCAAAAAATCAGCTGAGTGTGGCAGGGCGCACCTGTAGTTCTGGCTACTCGGAAGGCTGAGGCGGAAGGACCGCCGGAGCTCAGCAGGTCGAGGCTGCGGTGGCCGGGAGCATGCCACGGCACTCCAGTCTAGGGGACAGAGTGAGACTCCAACTCAGGAAAAAAAAAAAAAGGTTCACCCCAGGTGTAGACTGGAGGGTCTGGGCCTGGGGAGGACTGCATTCCCGACTTGCACGGCCTTTACCCCATAGGCCAGGGGCTCTTCTCTCGGAGCTTGTCTTGGCCTCTCTCACTTGCTTTCTTGCAGGTCAGGCCAGGGGAAGGAGGCCGGAGGCTAACGACAGGGTGTGGAGACCTCGGCCTGCTGTGCCCCTTCCCTGGCTGTCCTGGAGGAAGAACAGGAGGCTGCTCGGCCCTTTGTACGGGAAAGACGTCGTACTCCCAAGTGCCTTACCTTTTCCACCTGGAGCCTCGGCTTCTTCTATGCCTGGGCTGCCTTGTTTCCAGGAGGGCCGCTGGTTCTAGGGGAAGCCACATGGCTGGGGAACAGGAAGAACTAGGAGTAAGGCAGCTGTCAAGTCTCGCTAGGACCAGGGGCAAGAGGCAGAGGGGCACTGCAGGGTTCCTCACAGAGCGTTCATGAATTCACCAGGTGGAAGAGATGTGGGAACCCCAGGAAGAACTACGGGGATAGAACAGTCATTGTTGTCACTGTCAACACTGGCTTGGCATGGCAGGGCTTGTTTGGTTTATGCAGACTGTTGGTGCTTGTCATCTGGAGTATTTGTGCTCTATGAAGTCACTATGACATTAAACTAGGGAACAAGGAACCACTGCTTCAAGGGAAAGTACAGGGTTAGGTTCCTGCAAATCTTGGGCGTTTTTGTCAACTGATCAATAGCTAACCTTGTCTTATGTGTGTTTATATTTAAAACCAGCTTATTTAATACATGCCAGGGTACCAAAAAAATGTATGCACATGTTAAGAGATGTTATCTATGTATTACTTTTTGAAGTTGAATTACAGTAGTAATGTGTAATATGCCATTCACTCAAAATATGGTGTTAGTCAAATGAATGCTAGCATCACCAAGTGGCAGGCAGGGCAAAGAAAATGGTAGAAGCATGGTTGTTGTTTGAGAAGTCCAAGACCATTTTGAAGTGGTATTTTAAATTCAAGAACATTGTGGAAGTACATCGGCAATGGAAGCATGAGTATGCAACATAACTTCCAACATGCCTGACAGTTGCACACATTTGTGATGATTTGAGATCCATGGTCCTGTGTGTGATGTGCACAAGGGAAGACCCAGGAGGCTTCGCCCAGCAACAAGTCCTGCTTCTTCTGCTGTGGTGTTGGAATGGTTTACACGTTCACCATGGAAGTCTCCCAAACAATGGTCAAGTGTACCTTGACATACTCTGCACATCCATTTTACCTGCAATTCATACACTTTCGGGGAATGATCAATTTTACTTCCAACAAGATGGTGACCCACTGCACTTCAACTGAGACATGAGAGCTTACCTAGATGAGAATTTGCCAGGACAATGGAAGGTACAGTTCAGTTTCCCTCACCTTTTCCTGACTTACCCCCTGACTTCTACCTGAGGGAGAGCTTAAAGGATATGGAAATACCATAGAAAACCAGCAACACTGCTGATACTTCAGGGAGAAATTGAAATGGCATGCACAGCAATACAAGCAGACGCTTTGGTCAATGTCACTCAAGCCGAAGCTCACCGTTATCAGAAGTGTCTGGGTGCTGATGGAAACTACTTTGAACACCTCTTGTATTCGCAGGAGTTAAACGTGACTTGTATTCATCTTTTGTTATCGGTATATGTTGAGTATTACAATTTTAATGGTTATTTTTTCTTAACACATGTACACTTTTTTTTGGCACCTTCTATATTGTTGACTCATCAACCTTGAACTCATGTCAACAGGTACTGTCCCCATAAGGCACACCAGGGTATGCAACATAACTTCCAACTTAGATACTAGGAAGCACCTTAGCACTGTGCTTGGGGGCCACTGTAAGCAGTCAGTCCATCAACAAAAAAGCTCAAGAATGTGAAAGATGTGTCACTAAATAGACCATGACATGATACATGTTTACAGTAAGAGCTGAGACAGGAGGGCAGAGTGTCATCTCACTGCTCGACCTCAGCTGGGAATGGGACATTCGGGCCACTGAAATGTTTCAGCACTCAGAGAATGTCTCTGAATGACCTCAAAACTGCTTCCAACACTGATTTTTGGGGTCACAAATACAGTTTATCTGGTTGGTGCATTTGCAAGTATGAAATCTGAGAACAATGATAATTTGTAGTATTTTTTTCATTTAATCCTCATAACAGTCCTGCAAGGTAGGAACTATTCTATTTTCACACGTGAGAAAATGAAACACTTTAGGTTGACTTGCCCCAAATCCCACAGCTAGAAACTGCTGGATCCAGGATTCTAATCCAGGCAGTCTAACTCCAGAGCCCAGAATCCTTTTATTATCTCTAGGCAGGTATGTCTCAAACTCTGTGCAGAATTTTTCAGGAAACTGAGTGTGGCTCATCAGGTTTAAGAAAAAAGCCCAAACCTCAGTCTTAAGCCTTCGATATTATGTTTTAAGTAAAATCTGTCATATCTAAATACAGGTTGAACTATATAAAGGTGCCCTTTTTCGATGAACATCGACAATTTTGTATATTTCAACCTCATCTATCTTTGGAAAGCATTCTTTCCATGACTAGAGGTATCCATTTATTTCACTTTCCATCTGGAGAACTAAAGCTACTATACTTGAAAAGGAAAATCTTGGAAACACTTTTAGATATCCTCTATGTTTTACTAAATGGAAGCATAGAGATTTATTATTTTACACATTTTACCACCTGTTTTCTGAATTCTTAAAGGAGATAAAGATTTCACACTTTATATTTTAATTTTTATTTTAAAGATGTAGGGTACAATTCAGAGTTAGGTATACAAATGGTCATTGTACAGGTAAAGCTTGAGCCTCACCCCAGACCCTACTTCACCTGATCTGAGATCAGGCACCCCCACTGATGAAGTATGTCCCCCCTCCTGGCAGTCTCCCACAAGATTTCACACTTTAGTATGAATAGGTCAACTATAAATATTTTTTGCCTTAAGGATGCGAATCACTGGACTGTTTTTATCAGAGGGAGTATAGGGCCTGCTTTTTTTTTAATACCTCTTTTATAGTATGTTTTTATCTAATTGAGATGAGATGAAATCACTACCAAAGACGGTAGGAGGGGTCATGAAAGTAGCCTTTTAGTTGCCAGATTTTAGGAAGGGAACAGAGCAGGTAAAGCAGTAAAACAAGATAACAGACATTCCCAATACCATCTCACTGAGCCTAAATGTAAAGGAAAAGCAAAACCTGTCACCTGCTGAGCTCCGAGTGGTGTGTATTCATGCAAAGCTCCAAGATGCCCTGGAGCCTGTACTGAACAGGTAGCCCTGATTTTTAATTTCCTTTCTTAGCATTGTGGGGTGTTGTCCAGACATAGACTGTTTTCTAGCTGTCCCCTCCTCAGGGAGTGGCTTCTGGCCAAGCCTGGTCTCTTGAAAGGTATGCATATTCCCAGTAATGAATCACTGGATGCTGGTGACTAAGCAAAGCTGCAAACAATGTAGTGTTAACTCTTAATCAATGCAATTGTAAACACTGGATAGGAATTAGAATGACGAACTTGACTGCTTCAACGATAAAACTGCTTAGGCTGTACTGCCGCAGTGCAGATTCTTCACCAAACTTGGTGCCTTCCTCCTGTAATAAACCAATGTCTTTCCCTACCTCTGGTGACTTCTTTGGAATTAGGTAAACATTACACACAAACGCTCTGAGATTTAGGGTCACCGCGTCACGGCATGGCGGAGAATGATAGGGGAAAAAAAGGCCATTTCCCCACTTGTTAACGTTTGCTCACCCAGCACTCGCCAAGAACAGTAAACGCCTGTCCAACTGCCTGCACTGTTTATGCAAAACCGGAAAGATGGGTTGGATCAGCGACTCCTCTTGAAAGTGGAGTTTCCTTATTCCAAAGTCCCGGCTGGCAGGTGACCTGAGTAAAGAAACAGCTCTCCCAGGGGGAAAGGAGGAAGGCAGTCTCCTGCCATTTCTTTTGAGATAGTTTGAGTGTACACACCAGGTCTCATTTCATCTTATACCTCCTGATGGGACGACCAGGCTCCGGAGGGCGGGCCACGTCCCCAACGCCCCCTCCTGTGAGTGGCAGGGGGCTGATCAGAGCCCGGCCACCTGCCTACAGCCTGCCCTTCGCTCCCAGACCCCCCGAGCAAGGACGCACTGGGAGAGGACATACAGCATGAGGACAGACAGCAAGAAGACAGGCGGCATGAGGAGGACGTGCAGCCTGACAGGCAGGACCGACCGCAGGGCCCTCCCCGTGGCATTCGCCTGGACGCTGGCTCTGCGGGGCTGAGCGGTCGAGCCCTAGTGGGGGTGTGTACTCACGGCTGCGCGCCTAGAGTGGGGAGGGAACCCACCCCGCACGGGACCCCCGCAGCCTCAGCCGGCCAGCGAAACGCACCCCCTCGACTCCTTCTCCCCACGTTTCTCAGCCCAGGCGGCAGGAAGAGCCGGTGTCCACGCGCGCGCTGCTACGGCGGCCGTCCGGGCCGAGTCGACACGCCGGAAGTGGGCGTGCCCGGACTTCCGGGTAGGCGGTGGGCTTTCGGGTTCCGGGTTTCCTGGTGGGAGCCGGGAACCGCCAGGAAAGTGGCCGGCGCTGCGGCCCGGGGACGGGGCCATGGAGAAGCTGCGGCGGGTCCTGAGCGGCCAGGACGACGAGGAGCAGGGCCTCACCGCGCAGGTAGCGAATCTGCACCCCGCCTCGGGGCTACCCGCCCGGACCCCGGGCCGCGGCGAGGACGGGCCGGAGCGGGTGCGGGGCCGGGGTCTGGTGGTCCCGGGGTCCGGGCCTCCTTGCGCGGCCACTTGACTTAGGAGGCTCCCCCACCCCCACCTCCTGGAAGAGGCGGGAACTTTCCGGCTCTCACGCGTTTACGTAAGCTCCCTTTGAGACCCGTCCCTGCTCCCCGCTTTTGGCCTGTGGCTCCCAGGAACCCGCTTTGCCGCCTGCCCCCTCTCCCGAGGACTCTCCGCCCCACGCTGCCCTCGCCCAGTCTCTCCTGGACCTTCTGAGGTTGGCGGAGGGGGGCGGGGGGCATTTGCCCTGCGAGCTGCGAGGTCCCACAGCACCTGCGTTTGCATCTGGAGGTAACTGACGTGTTGTGAGTGTGTGGAGTCTTTGGGCGTAGGGAGGCTGGAGGAGACACGGCACTGACAAGCGAAAGAATACGCAATTAAAGGTCGTCAGGGCAGTGAGTCTTGGTGAGAGTAAAAACAAAAAGTCGTGTGTCTGCGCTTTGCCCACGAGACTGATAAGGGTCACTTCCTTCAACACGAGGGTTAAAAATAGCGGAGCAGGAACTGCTCTGTAAGTATCTTTGTTTGCACACTAACAAATTCTCGTTTGCCTGTCACTGGAGTTGAACACTTAAAATCAGATTGTCTTCTGGAAGGATCTTTGATCCATCTCCTTTCCTGACTTCCTTCTTTGTCCTCATATTCAGCACTTCTTGTGAGCAGGGTTCTGGGCTAGTCTGTGTCGTTCAGAGAGTGTGAGGCAAGTGTCTGCTCTCACTGAAACCTGTGACTCTATCAGTAGTAACCCAAAAACCCAGAAGTAATAATGTTAGTAAAGCAGTGTGTGTTCTACCCTCTTCCTTTGATGTTCCTTGAATCACTACTATGTGTTCCACTTAACGGTCTGGGTCTGTGCTGTACAATACACCCTTGTAGCCACACGTGGGCATTTATTTATTTATTTATTTTTGAGTCGGAGACTCACTCTGTCGCCCAGGCTGGTGTGCAGGGGCACGCTTACAGCCACCACAGCCTCAACCTGCTGGGCTCAGGTGATCCTTCTGTCTCAGCCTACCAAGTAGCTGGAACTACAGGCATGCGCCACCACACCCAGGTACTTTTTTGATTTATTGTAGAGATGAGGTCTCGCTAGGTTGCCCAGGCTGGTCTCGAACCCGTGAGCTCAGGCAGTCCTCTCACCTTGGCCTCCCAAAGTGCTGGGATTATAAAGGTGAGCCACCGCCTGGTCATGTGGGCATTTAAATTTAAATTAGCCCTTTGCACCTGGAGACATTTCAAAGATCACCTACCAGCAACCTGACTGTACTTTTTAATGAAATGGTGAATAATTATTTTATTGTAATGATATTTGGATTATAATGGAATTTTGGACATTGAGGAACTTATTTATGACAAAAAAATCAAAATTTTATTTTATATTTTTCTAATGTGTGATAATATGTGAAGCAGTCAATGACATGCATTGTGGGTTCATTGATACATGCTGTGCAATAGTAATTTAATGTCTTCTACCTGGTGTTTTTGTATTTGAGCAGACAATGCAGTCTGGTTTTCTTTCTCCCACATTCATAATATGTAATTTGTTGTCCAATCTGTTGTTTAAAGACGATGTGGAAGGATGCATTTGTGATTCCTAAAAAAAAAAACCAAACACTTCTCAACTGATTGATCATATCTTAGTATATATTCCATCTCTTTATTTGCTTTTTTATGCAATTTGAATGGAAAACTTCAAGGAAACATACATTTTTGAAAAATTTGTGCTGGCATAAGTTTGTCCTAATCACCAGCACTCTCTTTATGTCCCCTCTTGGACATCAAGTGCTTTGCTAGATTTACAATATCCCCTTGGAGGGGTCATCCAAGTGCAAAGGGTTAACTAAATAAAATGTAAAATTCAGTTCCCCGGTCACCCCAGCCACATTTTGAGTATTCAGTGGGCACATGTGGTTAGTGGCTACTGCACTAGACAGTGCAGATATAGGACCATTGCCACTGCTGAAAGTTTACGAACAGTGCTCCCCTACACCTTGGAGATGGGAAGGTGAACAGTTACTTCTCTTGAACCCACTGTGTAGAGTGATCAAAGCTTAGAGTGACCGGTCTTGACAAATGCTGTGTGTTCATAGGAGATGGTCATTCATTCATTCAGTAAATATTTAAGTCCTACATGATGTTTGGCAATGTTCAGAATGCTGGTATTACAACAGGGATCAACACAAAGTCCTTCCCTACGTGGAACTTAACATTTTAATTAGGGAAACAGTCAGCAAACAAGTAAGGAATGTGTCACAGTGCTAAGTGCTATAGAAGTTAAAGTAGGCAGAGGAGGTTGGGATTGCATGTTATGTAGAGCCTCCTGGTTCGGGTGACATGAGCCTAGATCTGAAGAGCTGCAAGAGTGTCTGGGCAACCTGTGAATAAGGGCCTCCTAGGCTGACGGACCTGTGGATGCAAAGCCCTGAGCATGGAGCGTGGTCAGCACATTCAAGGCCCGAGTGACTGGAGCAGAGGCGCAGAGAAGAGGGGTGGGTGAGGGGGAGACAGGGGAGGCAGACTGGGGGTTCCTGATGATGTGGGGTCATGCAGGCCATAGAAAGTACTTGAGCTTTCCTCTGAGTGTGACCGGAAGCCTTTGGGCTTTGAGCAGAGTGGTGGTGTGTAGGGCTTGGACTTTAAGGGGTCACTCTGGCTGCACTGAGAAGAACAAACTGGGGGAACAAGGGGCGAGGCCCAGAGACAGGTCTGGAGACTGGTGCAGTTGTCCTGGTAAGAGACGATCACAGCCTGAGTCAGAGTGATGGAAATTACGGTGGTTTTAGAAAACTTGTAATGAGACTCTGCACATGGTTTGAATGTACAGCCAGCAGGATTGGCGGCTGATGGGTTGGATGTGTGGGAGAGGGAAGTGCCAGGGCTGCCCCCATCTGGTGTGACCTGAGCTGCCAGATACCGGCATGGGGAGGAGTGTCAGGACCTTAGGTCTGTGAAATAGCATTCAAGGGAAGTGTCGGGAGAGCAGGTGGACATGAGGTTCCGGGGTTTGTGGGAGGAAATAGTGTGAGGTTGATGAGCTTGCCAAGGGACTGTGTGCTGGTAGAAAGAGGTGAGGTCACCGTGACCTGTGGATGCCCAGTGTGGAGGTCAGGTCGAGGTGACTTGTGGATGTCTAGTGTGTAGCTTTGGAAGTGAGGTCGGGATGACCTGTGGATGTCCAGTGTGTGGCTTTGGAGGCGAGGTCAGAGGTAACCTGTGGATATCCAGCATTAACTTTGGAGGTGAGATCAGGGTGAACTGTGGATGTCCAGTGTGTAGCTTTGGAGGTGAGGTCAGGGTGACCTGTGGATGTCCAGTGTATAGCTTTGGAGGTGAGGTCGGGGTGACCTGTAGTGTCCAGCATTAGCTTTGGAGGCGAGATCAGGGTGACCTGTGGATGTCCAGTGTGTAGCTTTGGAGGTGAGGTCAGGGTGACCTGTGGTATCCAGCGTTAGCTTTGGAGGTGAGATCAGGGTGACCTGTGGATATCCAGTGTGTGGCTTTGGAGGTGAGGTCAGAGGTGGCCCTTGAATGTCCAGTGTTAGCTTTGGAGGTGAGGTTAGGCTGGCCTGTGGCTGTACAGTGTTTTGGAGGGTGAGTGGCAGGATGAGCAGGAGTACCAAGTACAGTGTGCAGGAAAGGGAGCAGGAGAGTGTGCCTGGAAGGGCAAGGTGGCCGGGATGTTGGTGGCCTCCTCAGCTGAGGGCAGATTACCAGTGGAGGCTGTTGGTCGTCACTTCCATGAGAGTAGGTTTGGTGGCCGGAGGGGGCAGAAGCCCAACTGACGTCCAGAGAGGATAGAAAGAGACAGTGGAGATGGTGAGTATCAGTATCTCAGTGGTCTTTGCTGTAGGGCAAAGAAATGGTGGAAGTTGGAGGATGGAGTAGGCCAGGGAACACAGTGCTCCTCCAGGGAAAACGCTGGGTGTGCATGCATCAGGGACAGCTCAGGACAGGGGAATGGATGATGCCGGCTTTGGGGGTCGAGACTTGGTGGGTGGACATGTGGTGGTAGTTTCATGATTTCTTAATTGCTCTCACCGAAATAGGAAATACGAGTATGGCTGGAAGTTTGGAGGAGGCAAGTCTCGGCATTAAGAGGAGGCATGAAGCAGTTATTTAAGAGCAGTGGGATGACAGGAAGGACAGTGGGCCTGCTGCAGCAGAGACCCCACTGGGGTCGGGGTCCTGAATCTGATGTGGGAGCCGGCAGGGGTGTGAGCTTCTTGCCAGCCGCACTCGGCAGCAGGAGTCCAGGGCAAAGAGTCAGGTTAACCAGGGCCAGGTTTTGCCTGGTGAACACATGGACACTTGGTGAACACAGGTGAACATGTTTCCTGAGGACCGAGGGTCAGGAAGTGGAGAATGTGTATCAGAAGTGACCACAGGAGAACAGGGGTGGGGGAGTTGGGAGGGTGCTAGGATCATGGCCTGTGGGTCACTAGAACATGGGAGGTGGTGGTCAGAAAGGGTGATCCTTGACATTGACATGATAGAGACTATTGGATTGCAGTGTGGTTATTATGACTAGATCTGGGGTCTGGGGACTGAAGTCAAGGAGAAGTAGATCGGTAGGAGAGAAGGCCAGCTGAGAGTCTCACAGTTTTGAAAAGTTTGTTTACTCCACTAATGAGGTCACCAAGCCTTAGGACAGTAGTGGTGGAGAGATGACAGTGAGGCACATGCAGAGACCTTCAGAGGGTGGGAGGTGTGATGGGGGTAGTAAGTGACACCCTGAGGGGGAGAAGCAAGGCTTGGCATGATGGCAGGACTTGAAAGCAGGTGTGGAACAGGAGGGGGAGAGATGCCTAGCTCACCACCATTCCAAGTGGTACAGGAGGCAGGGAGAGAACACTGGCCCCTGGAGACTGGATATATTTCAGACCC